TGTACCTCCTGATCAAGTCTTACTAAACTTCCACTTCCAGAAACATCCACAGACACTTCCTTTTCCTCCTTTTTTGGTGTGTGGTGTACATGCTTCTGAGTACAGGTACATATATACATGTGTGTGCGTGTGGAGGCCAGAGGACAGCTTCAGCTGCTATCTCTCAGATACCATCCATCTTGTTTGGTGATCTCTCATTGAGCTGGTACTTTCCAAGTAGGCTGTACTGGATGGCCAGTGAGTTCCATGGATCTACCTGCCACCACTTCCCTAGTGCTGAGATTGGAAATGTGTGTCAGCATGCCAGTCTCTCCAACTAAGCTATGGCCCCAGCTGTCCCTGTTCCTCTGTTTGACCTTTACTATATAATAATGTCTGTCCCCTCTGCCTTCTGGTACTTTGTTGTTTATTACATGCTTCTATTTATTGCTATTGTGTTTTGTTCTTTATTTCATGTTCTTCCCCTCACCCCTAAGTTTTGAGAACCCCTGTAGCCAAGGCCAGCTTTGAACTCACTATGTAACTGAGGATGGCATTGAACTCCTGATCCTCCTACCTCACTTTCCAAGTGCTAGAATTGCAAGCATGCACCATCCTGCCCAATTTCCATCACATCTGTTAAACTTGAAGGCTCTCTCAAGATGGAACATTCTGCTCCTGTTCCTCAGCTAGCACAGCTGCAGCAGATGCTGATGAAGTTCTGTGTAAAACCCTTCACGTGCATGGAGTGATGCTATCATTAGTGTTTCATCTTCCCCCAGAGACTGAGCCCCAAGCAAATGTACTCGGGGTGTGGGGGGGTGAGTACCCCTCTAACCACTAGCAGGTCCAACATGGTATGTAAAAAAGGGAGACACAAAAGGTGGAACCAACTCACTGGCAAACTTCAGAACCTTCCCCAGGAGCCAAACTGTTGCTAATTCAACCAAGAGCAGATCCTAGTTAGCTCACTTTCACAGTGCTCTCCTGCCACAGCTCATGGCTGTTGGCCTTCTCCACAAAACTGGCATTTGTAGCACAATTAATAAAAACCCAGAGACAGATATTGGGGCTCAACCTGAAGGTCAGAAAAGCAAAACGGCCAGCCACAGTCTCTTACCTCTATCTCCTCCAGGAATCCTTGAAATGAGGCTGCTAGTGCCATAGAAACTGGGTGGTAGTGGTGCACACCTGTAATCCTAGCACTAGAGAGGAATATAAGACAGGAGGAGACAGCTCTCACTCACAGTCTTATTCTGAGATTCCTGGAGGCAGAATTGCCATTTCAGACTGAGGTAGAGGTAAGAGCCAGTAACTGGCGGTTTTGTTTTTCTGACCATCAGGTTAAACCCCAATTTCTGTCTCTAGATTTTTTTAAATATGTATTTATTTATTATGTATACAATATTCTGTCTATGTGTATGCCTGCAGGCCAGAAGAGGGCACCAGACCCCATTACAGATGGTTGTGAGCCACCATGTGGTTGCTGGGAATTGAACTCAGGACCTTTTGGAAGAGCAAGCAATGCTCTTAACCTCTGAGCCATCTCTCCAGCCCCCTGTCTCTAGATTTTTATTAATTGTGATTCAGTCCTTCATCAACCAGAACCCCCTTGCCTCCTCTTCTAGTCTTCCCATCTGAGCAGGGTTACTCACAACGATGGACTCACTAGTTTAGGGGTACAAAATGTTCCCTTACCTTAAAGGAGTTGAGTTCTCCCATATAGTGTATGTCCTAGCCACATATGAGGGCTCCCTGTGTATCAGACCAAGGTTAGACACAACCTGGCATACACCTTGTTAGACTCTTTTGCTTTCCCTGTCTGCTTTGTTCTGTCCATTGTACATTATTCCTGCCAAGCATTCCTCACCACTAAATGTTTGTCTTGGGTGCTCTTTCTTGTAAATTCAGCATCACTCGTGTCAAAACTTCACTCTTATTTTTCCAAATTACGTTCTCATTTAGTTCCAGGGAATTTCAGCTCTGGCCTGTGCACACCACAGGCATAACTGACTGGTTTGTTCTGAAGTCACTATGTCAAAAATAAGTGAACTTTTTTGAAAAAATTATAGGAAATACCTGCTATATCACTGTGACGATGTTAAAATCTGAGTTAAAGGGGAATACATTCATAAGGCAGTGCGTTATGTATAACAAATGACCTGAGGCATTGTTTTACTTACTCATGTATAATATTCACGCCTATGCGATGCTTACCGTAAGGTATGTACAACAAATGCCTGGTGAAGAAATGAGACTGAAATTTTGCTTTGAGAATCAAGACCATGTTCTGAGGTTTGGCCAGCAGAGGGCAAAACAGATGCCGACAAAGATCTGAGAGATGTCTCCGGATTGAGACAGCTCCCTCACAGTTGGTCTGGGGTCCATCTGACAGTGTGTGTGTGTGTGTGTGTGTGTGTGTGTGTGTGTGTGTGTGCTGAAAGTAACACCTTCATCAGAGGATTTTAGAATGTTGAATCTGACGTTTGAAATTCTAGAATTTCTACTCCAACCATCAGTAGTGAAACACACTGAATTCAGACGAGTTCCTGCTCCCGAGATCCCGACAGTTGCCTTGGTCTCTGCAGCTTCTGTTTGAACTCATGAGCTGTGCTGCACTTATAATCTCCCCTGTGCTCGTGTTAAATTTGCAAGTAAAGGAATTAGAGTTAAGTCTCCTGATGAATGTGTGTGCTGAGCCTCCTCCACAGATGGGGACGGAGTCAAAGAGCAGCCACACAGGGGCAGCTTCTGCGCCTTCTCCCCAGTTGCCAAGGACAGCATGTTTCGAAGTCTCTGCTGCAAGTTCCCCTTGTCTCATTTTCTCCATTTGCTCTGCCTATTTATCCTACACTTCAGAGCTCAGTTCCAGTTCTCCCATTCTCTAAATCCTGCAGATCAAGTTAATCTCATTTCTCAAAAACACTTCTGTCCTCTTTCACCTGACCACTCAACGCGGTACTCAATTGCAGCACCATTTATGTGGGTAGAAGAGAGAGACTCTGGAGTCCCAGTGACTGTAGACTCCAGAATCTGCTGTCTTGCCTTGTCATAGGTCCTTAAGAAAGTCACCTCTTTCCCCTCATGAAAAGATAAAAAGGTGCTCAAGGCACGGACTTCGACACTTTTGTAGAGGTCCAACATAACTGCTCATCCAACATACGCTCTTTTGAGCCTCCATTCAATAAACACAGAAGCATTTACTTTATTGTTTTTAAACATTTATTCATTTGTATTTAATGTGTGTGGATGTGTGCCTGCATGCATGTCTGTCTGTGTATCTGTCTTTGTATCTCGAGCATGCTTTGTGCCCTCGGAGGCCAGAAGAGGGCATTGGATCCCTTACAACAGGAGTCAGATGATTGTGAGTCACATGGAGCTGGGGAAGCAAACCTGGATCCTCCGCGAGAGCAGTCGGTGCTCTTAGCTGAGAAATATTTGGTTTTACTGGGAGAAGCAGTTTTCTTGTCCTTTATAATATGGGCATCATATGTCGGGCCATTATAAGTCAAGTATCACACACACTGCTAAAATGGGAAGGAAAAATCATCTATAATTCTACACCACTGAGATAATTGCTATCAAAATCCTGTGAGGGGGTTGCTGAATACAAACACGTATGTTTCTGTGGGGCCTTCTGGGAAGCTCACGGGGATCCCTCAGATCAAAATCAGACGGCAATAGGTGGCTTCAGAATCGCTGATGAATAATTCACTCACCATGGTATATAAATTAGGTAGAACCCTGTGAAACAACTGATATTCACCCGCTTTTGACTGATATAAATAGCACTTTTATGTGCTTCCGCCTAATGTAGTGAATGTAAGGGCGGAACTGATAAGCCCCGATATTAAACCTTAAAGTTTATTCCATTACACTAAGGAGAAAAATGAAAGAACCAAAAAGAGAAGTACCCAGCTGTTTTAATTAGAGTTTTTAGGGATGTGATAAACATCATAACCAAAAGAAACTTGGGGATGAAACGGTTTATTTTATCTTACATATTTCAGTGAGGGACGTTGGGGGCAGGAACCTGATGCTAGGAACCGAAGCAGAATCTGTGGGGAGAGCTACATGCTGGCTTCCTCCATCTGCTTGTTCAGTTTGCTTTCCTGTAAACCCAGGACCACTGCACAAGGATGACACTACTCACAGTGGCCTGGGCCCTTTCACACCAATCATCACAGGCTTACCTATAGGCCAGTCTGATGGGGGCATTTTCTCAGCTGAGGTTCCCAGATGACTCTAGATTGTGTCAGGTTAACAAAAATGAAAAACTTCCAACCAGATAAAGTTATAACAACCTTAAAAGTAAGATGCCCATTGGATTTCCCAATGAACCACACCTTTTAGACACTGTATCATTTAACAGGGCCATCTCCTAGGTATAAAAGTAATCCCCTAGAAACAAACTTTGAAGTTGGTGTTTCTCACAGATTTCAGAGTAGAAGAAGCTACACCCGAGGTAGTGAAGTCCTTGGCATTGGACACACGACCTGGTGATGTGGCTCAAGAGGCACATGACCATGTTACTAGTGAATATAATGCTCAGAGCTCTGTGCTTTGCACAGTCTCTGTTAAGATCTTCGAAGTGCTTGAGCAATACATTAACACAGTGGCATGTTTTTGGTAATATTTGTAAAAGTAAGATATTTCTTACTACCCCTCCCCAACTCTCTACCAAGATAGGGCTTGCCCAAGCTGGTCTTGAACTCATGAACTCAATGATCCTCCCTACTCAGTCTCTTGAGCACTAGGATTACAGGTATGCACTACTGTGCTCCACCTCAAGTTCTTTGGGCCAGGATCTTACTCCATGTATCACTGAAAAGTCCTAGGAAAAAGACTAGAGTTCCTGGATTCCAGTCAAGGCACCTGTTCTGCTTTGTTGGCAGATGAGGCAAAACCCGCATGTGTTGTATGTTTAAAGAAATAAAACATGAATTAACATAAACAAGTAATATTACCTGGTTTATCAAGGTTTCTCATGTTTGAAGATCACACATTAAAAAATTGTTTCCAGAGCATCTTCTTCTCCATTTCCCTTCCTCTTCCTCTTCTCCTACTCACCGGTAGTCCATACTTCTATGTATTTGTTCATGGGCTCCTAGTATATAATGCCTATCTTTGTCTGGGAAAAAATGCCTTATCCACAAGGCCAGGACTACCAGCCTATCCTTTCTGGTCCCAACGGCAATCTCTCTTACCAATTTCTTGTTGCTCTTGTATAGATAGAGACACTAAGGCTTGAGAGGGTCCAGAGTTGAGTTCTGGGGCCCCAAGAAGACAATCCTCAGGCAGCAGAGTCTTCCGTCATTCTTGGGCACCTCACATCAGATCATAGACACACGGTTCTTGATGTACACGTGATAGGGGTCACTACGTTTGTCCACCTTGCGAGAACGGGTGTATCCCAGGATGAGACTGCCCACAGTGACAGCAAATAGGAACATGACAAAGAGAATATACATGTAGGAGTTGTCATTACGGCCAGGAAGGCTAGCTCGGCGTTCTTCAGTTTGATTGTCTGGCCCAGGTCCTGGCCCTGGCCCAGGACGACAGAGCAAGTGACTGTGGAGGGTGGCGTTCAGAGCCTTCAGCACAGCATGGAGGCTCTTGTACCAGGTCTCGGTCCCATTGGAAGTCTCCATAGCAACAGAGATTGAGGTAAAGGAAGAACTGGAACGTGATCTGATGGTGAGAAAAGAAAGGGAAGGGGTGTCTCTGTTACCAACAGCTTGAACAACTTCCCTATTTTGCAGACCTAGGCTCAAGACCCAATACCACGACTATTCCCAACTCTACTTTGCTTGTCTGTCTTCTCCACTAAGCCTTGGGCTCAGAGATGGGAAGGGCTATGTCTGCTTTCCTCACTGCTGTACGCAAGCCCTCACAGAAGCATCCCACTGTGTGTGTGGAATAGAGTGGTTCCTGGCCACTGAAAACCATATTACTCTCTCTTCTTCTTGGATTGTATAAATCAACTAGACCAGGTGACAAGAACTTTAGAGGTTATTTAATCTAGCTCCATCCATTTTATGCACAGGGAAATTGAGGCCTCCAAACAATTAAGTAGCTTGTTCATAATCAGGGAGTAGTTAGCAGTGTCTTTTTTCAGGACTTTTTAATAGGCCAAATAGTACTTACAATTCAATGCCTGATTCCAAGGCTCTCTTTCACTGAGGTGGAACTGTCAGGAAATATTATTATTACCTATATGTATCAAACATGACTTTACCTACCAGGTTTCTCCCCTAGAAAAGATAGTTCTCACCATGACTCATTACAGCTCTATGAAGAACTAGGAGAACAGAATCTAAATAATATAGCAGCACCATACTGCACCCAGGACAGGCCTATATTCTATGAAAGACCTTTGGGGTTCTCTGCCATCCACTGTGCTCTTGTCTGAATGAAAGAGGAAAAAGAACATAGATTCCTGAATTAAGATGTAAGAGGCCAGAAATCCGAGGTTTTTTTCTCCATATGGGCCAGTGGCAAGCAGGAACATCACAGAGAAATTAATGACTCAATGAGTCACTCAGTCAATCATTATTTTCTCAGACTAGGGTCTGTGCTGGGGCCTAGAGAAAGCTCAAACCCAGTACTCACCCTCAAGGCCAGCCTAATGTGATACAGGTGATAACACAGGAGCTATGTAAAAGAGCTACTTAAAGTGATTAACACTCCTTAGGGCTTAGAGGATGTTCAATGGCATGGAGTGGTTTGAACTGGACTTTGAACCGTCCTAAGAGATAGAGAAGGCAAGGACAGGAAAGATACGGCACATCAGCAAGACAGTGCATAAAGTGTCTAGAAGAATGGAAGATCACATAAAGATGTTGGAATGGAAGATGGGCAGAAGGAAGGGACAGAAGAAATCCATGGGGCCAAATCACGGGAGTGCCGTGCTGTGTGCTTGAACTTGGTCCTGTAGTTGGCTTTAAAGATACCATAGCATTTAAGGGAGGGTAAAACGGGCAATTGTGTAGCTGCTATGTGACCTGGCAGGGGTGAGAGCAGAGTCAGTAACAAGGATGTTTGGAGACAGGGTGCTGAGTCCTGGACCAGGGTAGAGCCGTGACAAAGTAGGAGCAGGACTAATATGAAGGTTGAAGGAGGAAAAGCCCCAGACAAATTTACAGACAGACACAGACAACCAGCATGGATCTACACAAGCCCACTCAGAAGGAAGCTAGCTTCCAGGATGGATATGGCTTTCCTTATCTATCAAAAAAAAGGTAATCAGTGGGAGTTGTTGAGCATTGAGTGTAAAGTTTCTGGTGCAGGATGCAAAGTTCTAGAGATTTATACCACAGCAATGTGAAGACTGGTAACACTCATATGGTTAAGAGGGCAGACTTATGGAGTTATGCATTTTTAACTATAACTAATAAGGGTGTTATGCTTCCCAAGCTTGTTGTATGTATTCTTTTATTGCATCGAAGAGGATTAATGTGCTTTTCATTTTGAGAAGCACACACACACACTCAGTTTCTAAACCCTAAGCATCCATACAGCAGAAGTGAGATCTCTCTGCTCCTAGTCAGTTTTCTTGGGTATTCTTCCTTGGAAAGGGATATTGACTGCTGGGGCACAAATCCGGAGAACTCACCAAACAGTACAGAAACTCCGCTGGCTCTGAGACATCTTTGAGAATCTCCTTGTGGATGTCCCACGACTCCTCAGTTCCTTGACCTCCCCAGGATGCATCTGGATACAGCCAGAGTCTTGGCGTTGACAGGAAAACTAAGAGCTAGAAATTGGGGAAGAGTCAGGAGAGGAGGAAGAGAAAGGAACCAGTCACACAAACCTCAGAACCAAGGGTGGATCCCCTGAGGTCAGTTCCTGAGAGTTTCTGTGGGTTCTGGCCCCACCCCTACCACTCCTCTACCCTTCTTGCAACAGCTAGCCAAGGCCAGCCTAGAGCTGTAGCTACAGGAGCTGTGTGATGGCCAAGGGGCATCTGATTGTTGTCTCTCAGTCCCAGGTTCATAACATCTTAACTGGGTGACTTTGTGGGCATCCCATATTTAACCTGTGGACCAGCCAATGGTACAACCTAAATATTTTCTCTTTCTCCAGGGTGCTGGCACCTTAGCAGAAACCTTCTAGAACACAATAGAGTGGGCTGAGTGGTAAAATGGGAGTCTTCAGTTTCATAGAAATAAATGGAGCACTACTAATCAAATCTGTGTGGACAGACAGTGTGTGGATATGTCCCAGAAGGCCACTGTGTTGGCTCAGTGAGGAAAGGTGCCTGTTGCTAACCCTGACGGCCTGAGTTTGATCCTGGAATCTACATGGTGGAAAGAGAGAACCAACTCCTGAAAGTTGTCCTCTGACATCAATATGCATACACACACCCAATAAATGCCATAAAGTAATTAAAATGAGCACGTCACAGAATTAACTCTCTGTAGCATGGCTTTGCTGTGAAGATTAAAGAGTGTTCTGTAAGGCACAACTGTAAATGCCTCAGATGGTGGTGGGGGTCTGTGTAGTGCAGGAGCTGGACTCAAGGGCCTTCAGAGTTCATTAAGGCTAAATGTCCACATTCTACAGCAAAGGAAATGGAAGCCTAGGAGCAGTCTTGGTCCAGCTGCCACTTGTGTGACTTTGGGCATGTGATTTCCGTGCTTTTGGGTCTCAACTTCTTCTATCTGCATCTGCAAAATGAAGGAGTCATGGTCAGCTCAAACGTCCTGTGACAGTATGAATCACAGAGCCGTGTTGTGAGATCTTGGGAGACTGGGTTGGCCAGTGGAGGCAGGCTCTGGGAGCCGAGGCATCTCAGCCCGACATGGAGAAGGCTGCAGAGTATTTCTAGCGGGTTAAGACGTTCCTGAGACTCTGGATTGGCTTATGCCTGATGTTATGGCCTAGGTAAACTGAGGGCCGACTGATTGACTTGTACCCTTTTCCTCCTAGCATCCTACCTGCGTGGGAGGTCTGTCCCCGGGGAAGAGACAGATTGTGTGGGAAATGGGAGTAAGGGGCAAGTGAAGGACAGGGTGGAATCCATTGAGTGGAGTGGAGAAGCAAGCAACCTTTCACCTGTCAGACCCTCCCGTCAGAGCCTCGCGGGACATTGGAGTTCTGATGGGAGGAACACAAAAGCCATATTGCATACTCTCTTGAGAGAGCTAAAATGAACTCATTAATGATTGTCAAACTGCTGTGGATGAGACCCTGCCACTGGCTCCCCTCCCTATGGCTCTCTCAGTCTGTGTCCATGGCAGTGAGCTCAGTAGACATTGCCTGCACTTCGCGTCTCCTGCCTTTGCTTATACTGTTTTCTTAAGCAGGAATTCCTTGGTACTTTCCATCTGCTCAGCAAACTCGTCCATTCGTCCTTTCCCAAGACACCTGCCCCTCTTTCCACTCAATAACTAGTTAGTTTCTCTTGTTTGTTACCGGAGTGCTTTGAAAACAGCCTCATTAGAAAACCCTGCTACAGAGGTAAAAAAAAAAAAGGAAGGAAAGAAAACCCTGCTCCTCAGCCATTGTGGGTGAGTGTACATGTGGGCCCAGTGTGTTCATGCACACGTGCCTGGAGATTTCCAGGCAAGGAGCTGGGCCTCATGCATTTCTTTTTTCTCCAGGCCTGTTTACACAGCAAGCACTGAAGAACAAGAGCACAAGTGAACCAATACCTCTCCTATAGAGAGCCTCACAACCCTTAACTCTCCTTCCAACAGATTCCTGAAAACAGCGTTCAATGCTTTCAGAGAAAAACAAAGAAGTAACAGCTCTAAGCTGGATCAAGACAGGCTGCCTTAGGGAAAGGAGAGGCTCCTTGATCAGGGGGCATGGAGCAAGCAAGAGAAACTGTGAGCCTTCTTTGGAAGCCCAGACACTTCCTGCATCTGATCTGAGCCGGTTAATCCAAAGGGCAAACATTCTTGGCCCCTAAACATCAGTAAATGGTTTTGCAACACTCTCCCCTGTGTACATAGGCCATCCACACCCACAAACCGTACACACTCAGTCCCCATCTCTCGCCTTTCAAGGGAGTCTTTCATGAGCCCAGCCGGCTGTGTGGCCTTGAACACTGCGTTTATTTCCTTTGAACGGCATCTGTAAGATGGGGGCAATTACCCATGCCCAGCTTACCTCATGAACACTGGAAGAGACAATAGATGCGGAAGTGTTTTGGAAGCAGCAAAGGTGAGGGAACATTGCTGGGAAGGCTGCTGACATGGTTCCCCAGGTGTCTCCACATCTTATATATAACTTATATAATAAATTCACCCCTAATTACCAAGAACAGTCCCCCTGTGTGCCACTCCCTGCCGTGGCCCTCCCACCTCCACAGAAACCAGAGGGTCCTATTACTTTTTGTGAACCTCCAAACCGTGGGCCTCCTGCATTATCTCCCACCTTTTCTGGTGGATCCTGCCGCCCTTGCTGTTTAGAAGTGCCTCCCACAGTGTGAGAACGAGAAGATCTGGGTTTCTGCACCCTGCTGATCCAGTATGTGTAGCCACATGTAGACCGGAGGTTCTTGGTCTTTTCTGGCCTCCCTCTTAGAAGCTACTTCAGGCACCCTCACACTACTGATAGGACTGTGCCTTGAGAAGTGTGAAGAAAGTTGCTTGTTGGTTTTCATCTTAGGGTGTTAACAGTCTTTAAAAGCATTTTTTTAACACTTCCAGCACAGCAACCCAGCATTGACAAAGTGGCTGAGTGCCAGAGAGAATGTGTTTATTCCATATCTGCGGGGGAAATAGAGTACTGGGCTAGGGGTGAAGAAACGCTGATTCTAATTCAATTTCTCTCCCCCCCCCCCCCCCCCCCCGTGTCACCCTGGATAGGGACCTCAGTTTCCTCACATGCAAATGAATGAGGCTTAGGAAGCGGGGAATTAGGAGGAATTGCTACCTGGGCTTTTGCACGCTGGCTGAGATAAGAGACCTCCCAAACATTCCCCTGTGCCCTAATGTGGTTTACGCGGAGCAACTGGAGCAAGCAACCCATTCTACAGGGGAAGACTTTTAGAAAAGAAAGCCCAAGTCACAAGCCATGGTTGACGGGTACAGGTTTACACTACCTGAAAACTAGAGACCAAGATGCCTGCCTTCCAACCTAGATCTGCTACTAGCCACAGAAGTTGCTTTGGGAGTCCCGCGCTTTCCTGGGAACTAGTCGCAGAAGGCTAGTCACAGTGGAGTAGAAAGAAAGGGCAAGGCAGTTAGTTCTGCAGAGCCCGCGGCTTTAGTAGAGCAAGACTGACTCCTGGAATGTTGCTTCCGCGTGTACCCCCTGCAGACGTGTAGGAGTTCTACACCTTCACCTATCTGCAGGCATGAAGGAGCCTTTGCTGCCTCGACGGAGTACTGGGAGGACGTGTGCGAGCCTCCCACGATTTCCACGATCAGCTAAACTCTCATCTACTTGTGTTGCTGGGGGATACCTGCTCTTCTCTCTGGGGAACATCCACTCGGTATTTTAGTAGCACCCCAAACCGGGTCCCTGTCAAGAAAAACACATACTGGACCCTCGCCGAGGAGACGAAAACCCCTGCACTTCTCCAACCCTGTGCGTGCGCCTTACCTGCCTCTGCGATCTTCCCCTGTGAGCTCTGCATTGATGCCCAGCAGCGCTCCTTGCCGTCACAGCTCTGCACAACTCATGATCCCGTTTTCCCTTCCCAGCGTGTCCCCTCCTCCGGCCCCGCCCTGTGCTAGCACACCAGCTTCACCGCTGGCTAGCTTCGGGCGCCTCCGCCCAGCTCCTTAGCCTTACCCGGTTGTGAGGAACCGCCCGCTTCCTGGACCTGAGACCAAATTTTTCTCGGTCTCACAGTTTGTGTCGCTATGTCGTAGCCAATCTACCAAAAAACTGATCTCCAGAAACCCAAACCAAGGGCTGGCCATTGGTGGAGTTGGGTGTAGCACCTGTGTGGTTGTGTGGCCCTGGGCAGCTCCCTACTGGGGCCTTGATTTCCTCACAGCTGGCTATCACCATTCCGTCACAGACTTATGGTAGGGCCAGACGTGTTCTCGGAATCCAAGATACTAAAACAGTAATAGCCGAGGCGGGGGGGGGGGGGGGGGGGGGGGGGGTGATTCTAATACAAACCTTGTTTTGCAGTTTGCAGATACCCAAATTGGGGGTGCGCGGGGCGGGGTGTGTGTGTGACTTATCTATACTTACCAACCAAGTTAGAGCGCAAACTCAGAATCCTTTACACTCCAGCAAGTGCCTCCTCCTTCAGTAGACCCTCACGTTCCCGATCAATTTGCATCCAGCCACATCTTAATGGGTGTCTGCCCCAGATCACTGGGTCCTCATTCAAATTGTTTCTGATGATGTTACAGGCTATGTAAAGGAGAAGAATCCAAGGGAAGCCCAGAAATGGCGGCCAGGAGGCCATCAACAGGAAGATAACAGAAACAGGGACAGCCTCTCAGGAACTTAGGGACCACTTATTCAAACCCATTCAGGTGAGCTCCCTCACATCCTTACAGAGATCTACCGCAGTATTTCTGAGACACGCAATTTCAATCACAGAATTTTGGTATGTGATTATCTAAGAAGTGCTTAGGATGGGGGACCTGTCGTGTGGTAGGCATCTTGTGCATAGTTTTTAATCTTCAAAACTCATCATTGCTATGTTGTTTCTGCACCATACGCTTCTGTGCATCCATTCCTCCGTAAGCTGGAGACTACTCTCAGAGAAGTCACCTCACCACCTAGGTATGCTCTCTTAGTTTCCAGTCTACAAACCAAGGGAGTGCTGGTTTCAGTAAAGTAGACTGCAGGCTCCTCCCAGAGGCCCTGATTCAGAAGAGCTAGGGCCCAGAAATCAGCATTTTAAAAAACAAGACTCCCAGTGATGCTTAACACTAGCATTGAGGGCACTGGACATACAAGTAGAACACAGACATATATGCAGGCAAAACACACACACACACACACACACACCAAACAAGCAAACAAAAAACCCACATAGGGTGGAAAAGATGGTTCAGCAACTAAGAACACCTGTTGTTCCCTTTAACCCAACATTTCCCATCCAGGGTTATGATTGACTCCAACCCTGGGACAGAACTGGGTACCAAGTCATTCTCAGTACCAAATCCAACACAGAGTAGATGCTAAGATAAATTTGTTAAGTAAGTGAATGAATGAATGAATGAATGATGGTTATGGCCATGGAAATCACTTGGCCTTGTGCTCTCAAGGAAAACTCTCCAAGAAAAGGTACACTTGAAGAACTTAGGCTAAATTCTGTCGGCATCAAACTCCCAGGTCTAACCACTCACTCATCCCTAAACGGCACACACTGAGTCCGAAACTCCAGCTCCCCCTCAATCTCTGTCTCTCATGCAGCAGAAAACAGGTGACACCTGAACCTGGGCAGTTTAGAGAAAGTATGATGGGGGCTTAGGAAACCAACGAGGAGCAGGGCAGTACACTGGTTAGCAGCGGCAGGAAGAGAAGCCAGCCAGGGAATGAAAGGTGGAGGCCTCTTCTGGCCTGAGGGCATACATGCAGACAGAATACTGAGAATATTGTATACATAATAAATAAATATTTAAAAAAAAGAAGAAGACAGAAACCCTCAGTTTGGAAAGTACCTGTGTGTTCTCTATCTCTCCCGGCCTTTAGCTGTGTTATTCTCTCTGCCTGAACACACTTCCTAGCAGAAAGGTCTCCTGCATGAAATCAGATGTCCCCCTCCATCTCTCTAGGCTCCATTCCTATCCATTTCCCCTTTCCTTGCAATATCACTCTGATTAAAGGGATTTTCTCTTCTTATGGGCAGTGCCTTCTGAGGTGAGAAGAATTTCCCTGACTTCTCAGATCTCCAAACTGAGGGAAAATATGCCCTGGTTGGGGAGGTCTCCAGTCTAAGGGTGGTGACGCCGGAGCCCCTGAATCATAAGTGTGTTGTTTGTTTCTTCGGGTGCTTCAAATCATCCACCTCAAAAATCATCAATGTGGCTATCTTTCCTGGAGCACATCTGAACTCAGGCAGGCAGAATCTCCTCATTCTTCTGAGTCTAGAAGTCTCCTAGGCAGTGAAGCCTTCGGTGCAGCGGAGGGAAAAGCCAGCTGAGGACATCATTGGCTCTGGGATCTGGGCCAAATTACTTTACTCTTCAGGATCATTACCTGCCAAACAGGAATCTTGGTCCTGCAAATCTCAGAGGGTTCTGAGAAGCAAATGAAGGCACGGCTTGGAAAGTACCCCAAGGATTTAGGATTATTGTTGCTGTGATGGCCAGAGCACCTTGGAGAGGAAAGAATTTATTTTTCTTATGTCTCACTATTTTCCCTCCCTTCCTTCCTTCCTTCCTTCCTTCCTTCCTTCCTCTCTCTCCTAATTTCTTCTCTCTCTTTTGAGACAGGATCTCAATTCCCCAAGTAGATTGGCCTTGAGCTAAAAGAATTCCACCTGCCTCTCCTCCCTGAGTGCTGATATTAAAGGTGTGTTCCACCATAGTCTCACTATTTAACCGTGGCTGGCTAGAACTCACTTTGTAGACCAGGCAAACTTGTAGCAATGCTCTTGTTCCTCCTCTTGGTGCTGAGATTGATGGAGGAAGGTCATTGGCTAATAAAGGAACTGCCCTGGCCCATTTTATTGGTTAGAGGATAGGTGGGAGGAGTAAACAGAACAGAATGCTGGGAGGAAGAGGAAGTGAGCTCAGAGTCTCGACAGCTCTCCTCTCTGGAGCAGACGCCTGAGAGAGACGCCATGCCCTGCTCCCTGGCAGACACACGCGATGAAGGTCCGACCCAGGATGGACATAGGCTAGAATCTTCCTGGTAAGCGCACCTTGGGGTGCTACACACAGATGATTAGAAATGGGCTAAATTAATATGTGAGAATTAGCCTAGAAGAGAATGGGCCAAGCAGTGATTTAAATGAATACAGTTTCCGTGTAATTATTTCGGGGCATAAGCTAGCCGGACAGGCGGCTGGGGTGTTGGGGACGCAGCCCCGCCGCCGCCCTTATTACTTCATGAGATTACAACACATGGAGTTTAAAATATTCTCTTGAATAAGCGCTATTATAGGCAGAGTGTTTGTCTCTAGTTTACGACCCAGAATTCTAATCCATTTAGTCGCACCTCGAGGCTTTCTTGCCCGCTTCTGCCTTTTCAGATTTATACTTCATCTACATTCTGGCAGTTTCTGTCCACACAACTTCCAGGCCACTTAACACTTGATTGCTCATTTTGTCTACAGATGTATCTCTGCTACAGAGTTGTGACTCCTAGAAAAGGCTGGACCTGACCCATCTGTGTACCCTTGGAGTACAGGAGAGGCGGACAAACCTTTATTATCATCCATTGCAATCAACACAAATTGAGGACACACTGGCCAATGGAAGCCTACTGAGGGGTGCCATGGCGTCTAGAAACCATCTTACATGAAAATAGAAGAATCAGGAGTGTTTGCTTGGTAAGAACCCAATTTATCCACTTTCTGATTTTGCAGACCATTTCTGGACATTGCTTCTGCACAAGCCCTGGGCTAGGAATGAAACCACGGGTGCATAGCTACCATGATGGCTGCAGAGCTCACAGTCTGGATGGTGTTGGACACACAGACAAGGAGCTATGGCACAGTGTGGTCAGGGCCACCAGGAGACATGAGGGTTATGCCCAAGAAAGGCCTCGGGGGAGACACTGTGGGAGGGCCCAAGTTTGACAATGTTGGTAACAGATTTCGATTTAGATTAAAAAATTATTTTCTTTTTAAAAAAGATTTATTGCTTTTATTTTTGTTTTGTTTTGTATTTTTTCAATAGGTTTTCTCTGTATAGCTTTGGTGCCTGTCCTGGAACTAGCTCTTGTAGACCAGGCTGGTCTTGAACTCACAGAGATCCGCCTGCCTCTGCCTCCCAAGTGTGGGGATTAAAGGCGTGTACCACCACTATCCGGCTAAAGATTTATTACTTTTTAAATTTATGTGTTTGCCTGGGCATGGTGGTTTACAACTTGAATCCTAGCACTTGGGAGGCAGAGGTAGGTCAATTTTATGAACTGGAGGCCAGCCTGATCTACAAAGCAAGCTCCAGCCCAGCCAAGGTTATAATGAAACTCTGTCTCAAAAAGCCAATAACAACAACAGCAACAATAGCAATAATATAAATTTATGTATATGTGTGTGAGCCTGCTAGGCTAGGCATAATTATTGACCTGTAACCCAGCACCTGGGATATGGAGGCAAGAGGATCAATTAAGGTTTGGTCCTGTGCTACGTGAGACCCTGACAAAGCAAAAGGCGAAAGGGCTGCTGGGGTTGAGCTCACCATGCAGAGGGCCCTAGACTCCATCGCAACCATGCAAACGGAAACGGGCAAAGGGCTGGTTCAGGAGGAAGATCTGGGGGCATGTGAGTAAGGCTGGGAAGCCCATGCCACGGACTGAACACTGATGTGTATCAGCAGAAGGACAAATTGTGGAGGCTCATCATGCAAGCTATTAAACCACCACTTCCTCCTCTGTGCTAGCAATGCAGATATAAAACAAAAGCAGAAGGCAGGGGCATGGTGGCACATTCCTTTAGTCTTTGCACTCAGGAGGCAAAGGCAGGCACAGCTACATAGTAACTGCACAAAGAAACAACAACAACAAACAAAACAAAACAAAACAAAACAAGCAAGCTACCAAAATTAGTCTTTCATATAAAGAAGTTTATAGTTCTGGGAATTTGAAAAATTAAACACTATGACCTTAGTCTAGTGTCTCTTTGTTGTATTTTTAAGACTCATGTAGCCCAGGATGGCCTTGAACTTGATATGTATTGAAGGATAATATTGAACTTCTGATTCTTCTGCCTTCAGCTCTTAAATGCCAGGATTACAAACACACCCCCACCAGACCTGGTTTCCTACAGAGGTGGGTAATGAACAGAGTTTCGTGCACTCCAAGCAAGCACTCTACCAACTGAGTGATAACCCCAGTCCCACAACCTTGTTTTCAAAAGCAAAAGATTAGTAACGACCTCAATGTCTCCACTAGGAACTAGTTAAATAAACAAGGCACAGAAAATCATTCAAAGGAATACTGAATAGTCCTTCAACAGAGTGAAATGTTCTTTATGGGAAGGGAGTAGGCCAAAGCCCCTTGGCCTGAGGACTGCCATTTTTACTTCAACCTCCCTTTTACCTGCAGGATGAAATAAGTTCAGGCTCCCAAGCTCTAGAGAAGCTGAGAACTTTCCAATGGCTGACCAACCTCCTCCCTAAAACGTAGAAATAGTTGTCATATATCTTTAGTTCTCTGGAAACATTATGGCTGTTTCCATTATGAACAGAAGGAACAGATGAAGTTGATTAGTTGGATTGAGAGGCTTGCATTGTGTATTGGTTGACAATGATGGAGCCTTCAAGGAAGCCCCTAATCTCTCAATCCTGACTGGTGAAAAATTGTAACTGTAACTTGGTGATAAATGTTAAGCTTAAAAACCCCACTTCTGCCCCTGCTCAGGGCTGTCAGGAGAAACGAGGCTCCCAAGTCCTTGCTTGTACTGCAGCCCTGATCGATCAGTGACCCGCTTATGTGGTGATTTAATAAATCTCTGGAACCCATAAGTGTTGTCTCTCTCCTTCCCCATGACACATAACGGGTTGGGTGTAACATTATGTTCTGATCTGAAGCAACATCCAAAGCTGAGGGCTAGCACACGACAATGCTACTATGTGAGAAAGGGTGTGCATAAACACATATGTGCACTCATTTACACGTACATGCACACATATACATTTACACACACACACAAATATTCCAAAACATATAAGTAAAACATACTGTCCTGTAAGTTCCCAGGGAAGGAGGCCGGGGCTGCAGGGCTGAGGGACTGGAACAACTCCTACATTTACACATGCTATACCCTTACATTTTTATTTTGCATATATGCACTATTTAAATTTTTATTCTGCATACATGCATTATTAAACGATGAAGGCCAGGCCTGGTGGCTCCTATAATCCAAGCACTTGGAAGGTGAAGGCAGAAGGAAGGATCAGGAGTTGAAGTTCTTCTGCTGCCCCATAGCAAACTTGTGTAAACAAAAACAAAAAACAATAAAAGTTTTTAGTAAAACAAATCATTCAAAAACACAAATCATATGCCAAGTTGTACACGCTCACAATCTCAATACCTGGGGGGCTTAGGCAGGAGAACTGCACTGAGTTTAAGACCAGCCTGGGCTGCATATTGAGATCCGAAAAAAAAGGACAAAACAGACAAACAAAAATATGTGCAATTATAAAGACCATATAACAACATGGAAAACTGATGCTAAACTTTAAGAGAGGCTTTTTGTATGCAGCAAGATACACCTGGCCATGCTCCCAAAGCTGGTTCTGTCTGGTTTCCTGGCCATCCTCACTGAGGGAACAAGATCCTAGACCATTAACTGCAGTCAGTCACGTCCGTACCCTCAGCACTGGCCCACCAGACCCTGGACAATCTGTTTACGCATGAGGAAAAGCTTCTGAACAAACAAGAGGGGGCTTTCTCCAAGGGGAGGCCAGGGAGCTACATATCTTCCTCTTGCTCAGCTTCCTTCCTGAAGGAAGGTCCCCAGTGGGAAACCGGAGGTGAGATCTGTCCTGTCAGGAAGGAGAGCCAGGAATCTGCACCAGCAGCCTGACATGATGCCACCGGTCCAACCTCCGCTAAACTCTGGTGTTCTGCCCCCTATCATCGCTGGCTCTGCCCACCTGCTGTTGGAGGCTACTTTGCTTCAGGACAGAAGCCCCATTCCCATTAGAGACCAGCCTTCTACCCTGACCATCTGTATGATCTCATTCAAAACACTTAGCTTCTCAGTGGCAAGTTTTAGAAACCTATTTGTTTTGTTTCATGTGTATAAGTAATTTGTGTGTGTGTGTATGTGTGTGCACACATTTGTCCAGTGCCCAAGGAGCTCAGAAGAGGGTGTTGAATCCCCTGAACTGGAGTTACAGATGGTTGTGAATCACCATGTGGATGCTGGGAACTGAACCTCGATTCTCTACAAGAGCAACACCTGCTCTTAGCTGCTGAGTCATCTCTCCAGCCCCATCCTACCTGTTCCCACCCATAAAATCGTCCTATATTGGCAAGCTGCTGGGAAAACAAAAGAAGCGTTATTTCTTTCTATAGCCTGTACCATTTCCGGGCTACCTTCTTGTCAGTCTCTTCCACCTGCTCCTCTTCAGCCCGCATCTCATCTATCACAGCCTTCCTCTCTCTCCTAGGGCTCACCACACCCATGCACCAGATCCATATAGCCAGCTGTTTCTGAGCTTTCTCCATGTTAATCTCCCGTGACTGTCTCAAACTGGATCCATCAACAACTTAACTTGGTTACAGAGTCCCAGGCAGTGAAGGACCGATATTCCCACTTCGGTTCAGTACGTCCTCCCAAGTTATTCTAGATCCTGTCTAGTTGACGGTTTACACTGGCCATCATAGGTCCTCACAAGTGTGAGCTAGTGGGTGAATAGTCCAATTAACTCATGGTTTTTCTACCAAAATATGCCTGCCTCTGCCTCCCAAGTGCTGGGATTAAAGGCATGTGCCACCACTGCCTGACCTATTTTTTTTTAATTTATTTATTTTATGTGCACTTTATTTGGTGTGAAGACGTCAGATTCCCTGGAACTAGAGTTACAGACAGTTGTGAGCTGCTATGTGGGTGCTGGGAATCGAAGCTGAGTCCTCTGGAGAGCAGCCAGTGCTCTTCTTAACCACTGAGCCATCTTTCCAGCCCCCACAGTTCTGTTCTTAAAGACCCTGCTGCCACGAGGGGAAGTTATGGGACCTGGGGATAGTTTCCTTAAGAGCAGAAGGTAACAATCATGAGACTAGTTACTAAGAACTGGGCCTGTGTCAATACTGTTCTCAGCTACTTTACCTGGCATTAAGCCATGTAACTCCTCTCATGTCTAGGCAGACGACAGTGTTTCAGATTGTGAAAGTGTGGTTCAGGAAGGCAAACTCAGTCAGCTACCATGCAGCTACTCTCTATGACCCAGAAGAACAGTACCAGCTCTCAGAGAGGATCCAGAGTTTGAGGTCATCTTTGGCCACCCAGCAAGTTCTAGGTCAGCCTGGGCTATGAGGCCATTGTGAAAAACCAAGCAATCAGAGGCAGGGGTTTCCGACACGTTCTTATAATCTCCATATTCAGGAGGTAGAAACAGGTGAATCAGTAGTTCAACACCAGCTGAGCTCATAAGAGTGTGTATCAATTTTTTTTTAAAGTCAGTTTTAAGGCTATCCCCATGTAAGCAATGAGCACCTGCAGAATGAGGTTAGTCAAATGAGGTGCCTAAAAAGTACAAAGCATGCACCCAACTTTGGATGACTTAGTATGATAACTATAAAATAGTAATGTTGTGTACTTCATAGATTTCTTTAATGAATTGAGGCAAATGTATTAAAACTAACCACCTTCTAAAAAAGCCCTTTTAACCCAGGCACCCAGCACTCAGAAGGCAGAGATAGGTAGATCTCTGTGAGTCCAAAGCCAGCCTGGTCTACAGAGCACGTTCCAGGAGAGCCAGGGCTGCACAGAGAAACCACTTTGAAAAAACAAACAAACAAACAAAAGCCTTTTTAACGAGGCTCCTAGAGAATGTCAAACTACAAACAGCTCTCACTGCATTTCCAGTGAACAGCACTGAAGCCTAGAGAAAGGATGCAGAAGAAATGACTTTCACAGCGCCAAGTGTGGAACCCAAGTTATGAGGACCCGTCTCCAAGATGGCCCCTGAAAAGCTCCATCTTTTTCTGCTGAGATGTCCCTTCCACTCTAAATAAGGCCCTTGGTAGAGTACAAAAAGGACTACGTGGCTCCCACAGCAAAGTCACAAACAGCATGGAAGTTCCTAATTTGGCTCCATCCACTGCCCCGCAGTGGCGTTTGCAAGGTAAGAAACCGAGGCCTCTTGTCAACAGCAAGAAACAACCAAGCAAGCAGAATGGGGTGACCATGCAAAGGGACTTCCAGCACCAACTAAGCGTCCCAGTGACAACTGTCACCTTTTAATGCAAGCTTTAGTAAGACTCCAAACAACCTAGGTACGTTTCTTCCAAATTCCCGACCCAAAAAAGAACGATGTAATGTGTTCCTGGTTGTCTTGAATCACAGTTTCTGTTCTGTTACTGAGCAAGAGCTGACATTCTTACAGATCCAGGGATCCCATGTAGGAAAATCTTCTCTATACCGTATTTGTGTGCAAGGAGGAAGTACCCTTGTCTTTTCCATGGCCTCTTAACCCATCTCTTGACCCCAAACACAAACAGGCAAAATATCAAACCTGAGGGATTCAACCCCCAAAGGCAAAAATCTCATTTTATTTATTTATTTTTTAAGAGGTTGTCCCCTTTATTGAAGACAGACCCAGGTCTTTTGAGAATGAAATCACTTTATCCCATCACTGCACCTGGGCCACAGAGATTTGATTCCCACAGAACTCAAAAGACCTATGGACCAAAATCGATGTTAGATACAGCACTGAGAAAGTAATGAAGAAACGACAGTTTATAACACTGGAGTGTCGCCAAGCCGAGAAACATGGAAGCATGTGACTTTTCATAGTGTTTTCATCTCGATCCATGAGGTAGGTGGGGAGACCCAGGAAGCAACAGCTCCGAGCTCAGGATCTGTCCTCGGTCATGGTCAGTAAATCACAGAGCAGTTCTAGAATGGAGTTCTGGGGACTCAAGTCAGACTAGGGGCGTTCTATCGCAGGCCCACCATGCCCATCAGCTGGGGCTGTCCTCAGAGATTAACGTGCACTTGAAAGTCTCCTGGAAGGCCACAAGGAAAGACGGCATTACTTCATCCACAGTGACGAGTCTCTGGAGCGCCTCACTCAGGGAAGTGACTCCTGTCCCAACTAGTCCACAGGGCACAATGTGCTCAAACCAAGTGAGGTCTGTAGAACAGTTCAGAGCCAGGCCGTGGGATGTAATGTGTCTTCCACAGCGGACTCCTGCAAGGTAAGCCAAAATGTCTTAGAATAGCTCTACTTCCCTTCCTTGGAGCCTGGACAGAGCACAGACTGGGTAGGGGACTAATTCTATGAGGTGTGGGGGCGGGGGCTGTGGTTACACATCAGCCTTTCTTATTTTCGAGATTCCTTAATACAGGGACTACGTTGCTTTGGAAGTTTGACATTTGGTATTCTGTCCTCCCGTTGTGAGTCATAGGAAGTAACTTGGCAATTCATGCCTGGTGTTTCTCCATCCATGAGTGCTGAATTAGAGGACTCTTCTGTCTCGGAAAATTAAATATCCTTGAGGCAGGCAGGTCAGGGGTATTAGGAGCCCAGAGTTGCCCGGGGTTGGCCCTGTCCCCGGCTCCGCCCCGGTTCCGCCCCGGCTCTGTCCCGGCTTGCTCACCAATAGCGCAGATCTTGCGCTCGCCCAGCCAGACACCGGTGTAGGGTGGCGGCAGCGCTCGGGCTCCCCGCAGCCCCCGGAGCTCGCACAGGCGCACGGCGCACGCCTCCAGCGCCGCCACGTGGGTGCGCAGGCGCAGGCCTAGGAGCCGCAAGTCCAGCACAGGGTGGCACAGCAGCTGCCCCGGGCCGTGGAAAGTAGCCAGGCCGCCGCGGCCCGTGGCGCGCACCTCGGCTCCCAAGGCCCTCAGCCGTGTAATCTCCTCGGGGGTCAGGCCTCCGCGTAGCCCGCCGGTGTACACGGGCCCCGCCGGCTCGCAGACCAAGAGCGCGCCCGCCTCGGTCCCCGACGGGGCCCCCGGGCGAGGCTCAGCCTGCAGCCGCCGCAGCCACTGCTCCTGCAGCGCTAGCAGTTCGGAGTAGTGAGCCCGCCCGAGCCACACCAGCCGGACCACGGGCAGCTGCATTGCCAGGGCTGCAGCGTGCCGAAGCCCCGCCTTCTGTCTGGCTCGGGGCGGGGACTCAGGGCCACGCCCATGAGCTGCGGTTCCGGTGTGGGTTCCCGTTCCTGCCTACTGACAGGCCTGACCCTCCCAGTCATTCCCATGGTCAGTACGTGCTGCGATCTGCAGGACGTAGACCCAAAAGCGTGACCATGCAGTGTGCAGTGTGTGAGGAACGAAGATCCAGCTCTGGGAGCTGAGGTGTTCGCAACTGACAAGCTAGTATTAAAGTTGTATACTGTTGGAAGAAAAAGCAAGCAACAATAACATAAAAAACAACCAGAACTCAGTACTATGCTGAGTTCCTCAAAAACTGAAAGGGAGATTAGTGTGCAAGGAGGTTTACTGTGGTTTGGCATGGGACATAGGAGTTACTTTAAGGTCTGTAAAACAAGCTGAGGGGTGGTGGTGCACACTTCAGCGGATCTCTGAGTTCAAGGGTTCGAAGCCAGTCTGATCTACAGAGTGAGCTCCAAGACAGCCAGGACTTAAAAAAAAAATCCGTAAAGACGTAATGGAAACAGGCAGAGGCTCTAGATGACTCTGGCCGACTCATTAGAATTATTCCAGATGAAAGCAAACGGGCAGAAATGCGCGTCCTGCATTGATGAATCGCAGAAACAGGCTACCCCTGGGAAGGCATTGTTGCCTTTGTAGAGGTTCCTTCCATTATGGAGGGCTGATCTCTGAGAGGAACTCGGGTGAGTCACCAGCAACCTGTTCCCCAAAATTGAGAGAAGGACAGGGGCTGGAGGCTAGAACATCAACATTAATTTGTAAAAGACACCAGTTGACCCAGAAACCCTTCCCCTCCTGAGTTTGTGCCAGAAAAGCCCCCAGAACTACCATCTGGAGAGGCAGGAGTCATGTAAAAGTCCTATAAAGGATCCCGAGCCTCATTCCGCGAGACTTTTACTTAGCTCACTCGCGCACTCCCATTCTTCGGGAGTGTTTTTCTTTCCTTAATAACCAGTCTCTAGTTCTAACCCCGTCACGTGTCTGTGGTGCAAGCCTCTGACCTGGGACACAAGACCTCTGTTTCGCTCTGGCCGCTAAGCATATCTTCCCCCCTTTTCTTTATTTCCGTTTCAGATATTAGTCTAAAACCTAAGCCCGCTTTTCTGGCGCTCTGTACCATCTCAGAAGTCTCCCATCTGTTCTGTGAAAGCGTTCACCTCCACCTCAAAAGACGCGGCTTTCTTCCCCTTTCTCCCCGCCCCCCTTGGCAACCAATGAGATTTTTCAGCCTACTTGTCTGATTGTTTTTCTCCCAAGTTCTAATACAATTCCGCTCCATTTGTTTTAAAATTATCTTACTAAGAGTCTAAAAATCCAAAGGAGGGAACCCCGATTCCTCTGGTGACACCAGGGAAGGGTGAGGGGCTGTTGTTGACAGGTGTTTCCGGGCTCTTGAAAAGCTTGCTATCTCCAGGTGCTGGGCCTGATGGCTACAAGAACTGTGTGTGTGTGTTTGTGTGTGTGTGTGTGTGTGTGTGTGTGTGTGTGTGTGAGAGAGAGAGAGAGAGAGAGAGAGAGAGAGAGAGAGAGAGAGAGAGCTCTGTCTGACTGCCTTTCTTGATAACAAAACAACCCGCTACACGATGGGGTACGTGTGGGGCTAAGGGTGGAGCCTCTCAAACATAAATATGAATCTTCATGTAACTGGTGTAACTACCTGGCAGGAATGAAAATATACTAAAGAGACTCTTGTACCTTCCCTTCAGCTATTAGACTACTGAAGGAGTGGACCTCTAGAAATAGAATTTCTCAAGGAGTCTTGTGCTGGGTAAAGGAAAAGGCTGATGGGGGGAGTTTGTCTCCCTGTGAAAGATTTCACACAGTCTGACTTTCTCCTGCACAATCTTGCAGGAGAGATTAGAGTCCAAGTAATGATGGGTCCCTGCCCAGGACTGCCTTCTGTTCAAACCAAAACCTCAAATCAGGACCTGAGAGATGGACTTGGGGATGTGGAGGCAGAGGGAGGTCATTGGGCTTCGCTGTTCTTACTCATGTGACAGCATTAAATCTCTGCTCTGCTCTTCACTTCTACACTGTCTGCTTAGCTGGCCTAGAGCACAGACGGCCAAGCCCAGCTGATTAGAACTGTCAGGTCCCAGGCCTTGACTCTTGCTTGCTGTTGGTGGTGGTTTTGAGAGTTTTTGTTTTGTTTTTTGAGGCAGGGTCTCGCTGTTTGCTCTAGCTGTCCTAGAACTCACTATGTAGATCAGGCTAGCCTCGAACTCACGGAGCTCTGCCTGCCTCTGACTCCCAAGTGCTGGGATAGACTTTGACTCTTAATATCTCCAGTAACACGGGGTGTGGGTGAGGCAGGAAGTGAAAGAGGAAAAATAGAATAAGAATACCAGCCAGAGCAAGGCTCAACGCCAAGAATTAACGAGGTGGACAGACTGGCATGGGCAAACATATATAATAGAAGGTTTCAGAGCAGATGACAAAAGTTATTGTGAGTCATCAACGGTGGGGATGTGGTTTAGAAAATAAACATGACATTTAGATAGCCCCAGGGTCTGGGAGAAAAAGAGAAATTGGGAAATGGGATTGCATAAGGCCCTGTTCCGGAGTACCTAAATAGTTACGTGTAGGGTGGGGAAAGCAACGGCAGTGATTTGGTTCCTATAGAAGACAAACCCGGAGGTTCTACCTACGACGTGTCCTGGTGTGAAGCAGAATAAGCAGGAAAGCCAGGATCTGGGCTCAGGTGATCTTTTTGTATGCTGTAGAGTATCTTCTGATTGGTTTAATAAAGACCCGAATGGCCAATAGCTAGGCAGGAGAGAACAGGCTGGACTTCCAGGGAAAGAAAGGAACTGGAGATAAATCCCAGTGAGACACAGAATGAGTCCGACACACAGAATGGGGGGGGGGGGGTAAAAGCCACACGACAGAATGGAGATGAAAACAGTTAATCTGAGTTATAAAAGCTGGTTGGGAACAAGCCTAAGCTAAAGTCCAAACTTTCATAGTTAATAATAAAAGTCTCTGTGTCGTTATTTGGTGGCTGGCAACCCCCAAGTGAACGTCAACTTCATCTGTTACTGTGTTTGTGCTCCTTTGGGAAGTACATTTGGGCTGCCAGGAGCAGATGTGGCTCACTGTCATGCAAACTCTTAGGCTATTAAAACATTTTAAATGCCATATTCTGTAGGTTTTGAAGTGTTTGAAGACCACCTATCTAAAATATATCTGTGTTTAATCTTGAAAACTTACCCGACTATAAGTTTGATTATTAGAGATGATTACTAACCTGCATTTTTTATAAGATTTATTTATTTCTTCCATATACAGCATTCTTATCTGCATGCATGCCTGAACACCAGAAGAGGGCATCAGATTACATTATAGATGGTTGTGAGCCACCATGTGGTTGCTGGGAATTGAATTCAGGACCTCTGGAAGAACAGTCAGTGTTCCTAACCTCTGAGCCATCTCTCCAGCCCTAACCTGTATTTCTTTATTATCCTAAATAGATTTCAAGGATTAAAACTTTACACTATGTTTTAAATGAACTGCATAGGTACAATATCTTAAACAAGGATAGAAACATATTTACAGTATAACAAAAATAACCTTAAATCTGTATGAGTATGTTGAATTATCTCGGGTTGAGAAATACCAGGCTAGTTACAAGGTAGACCAAGTATATTTTTCTTTATTATAAGAGGCAAACTCACGAAACAGGAATGAGAAGTTCAAGCTTAGCTGTGTAGCACTGGAACCACAGAGACAGAGTACCCTGGGCACCCAAAAGGTCACGTCCCAACTTGGTCCCACCTCTTAAAGTTCGTTGGCTGACAGAGATTCCTCATCAAATATACAAAAATCTATACCACTGTAACATATTTGAGACTAGTAGTTGCCCAAAAGTAGACTCCACAATCCACCCTTTTATCCTATTATTTCTATACTATATCCTCCCTTTTTCTCTTCAGAAAGAAATTCCTGAATCTAATCTCCTTTTTCTAATTTTTGTTTCTGACCATGACCAATAACCAACTCCCCTAAATGATGACAAATATCCATAACCCACCAAAAGACAAAAACTCACCCACCTCAACTCTTGGGAATGTGGGCATTGTGTTCTCTAGATTGCTTCCTGTTGTCTGGGGACACTGGTGTCTTTAGGGAACTCTGAAAAATTGGGGTAATGTTCTAGTTCTGGGAATGCTAGATGTTGTCTAGTCTCAGTATGATGGGAAAATATAAAGCTTATTGGAAGTCTGGCTGTAGTAGTCGGTGAGGCTGGACCATCTCAGTTATCAGCCTTGAAGCTGTTTTGGATGCAGAACTCTGAGGAAACTGCAGCAGAGGTACCATGAGAGGCTGGACCGCCTGGGCCACCCGTTTTTATTGATGTCTGGCCCCCTAGTTCTGTCTTACAGTTATTTCAGGTTTGTGTCTGAAGGGAATGGAGTTGCTGAGTTCCTTTGTGCCTACTAAGCCCCAGGCTTTCCCATCAGCATGTGGGTACATCCACCCAATGAAATACTGCCCTGCTCCACACTTCACTATCGGGTAATAGGTGATAGGAATTCAAAATATGATTTTGCTAGATATGATGGCTCATCCCTGTAATATTAGCGCTTGGGAAATCTAGGTAGTAAAATCAGGAACTCAAGGTCAATTAGGGCTACATTAGTTTGATGAGGCTAGCCTGAGCTACATGAAAACATGCTTCAAGAAAGAAAGAAAGGGAGGGAGAAAGAAAGAAACAAAACAAAAGGAAAAAAACCCACAAAATAAAGTAAATGAAAATGTGTTTTTGTCCTTGTCTTTAAGAAGCTGTCAATCTTGGGGCAGAGGCAGACATGTCCACAAACAATGGCAACACAATACACAGAAGAAGGAGCCATGAACTTTGCCCTGAAGGATCAGGACATCATCAACAAGACAGATTCGTGAATATAACAGTCCCTGTCTCTCTGGCTAAGTCAGGTAGTTCATCAATCTGTTGGGCTAGTGATAGAC